AACGTTTAAAACGATCAAATATATATTTCAAAAGCGAGAACATTTTATTTAGCACAAATGTTCAGATGATAGAATTATTCAGAATCAATAGGATGAAAAATTAAAAAAGCCCACAAAATAGATATGACTTATATTTCCACAGGGTAATGGAAACCATCTATTTGCTGAAAGAGAATAAAAAAAATTGTTTCATATCCAAACTACATTCCGAGAACTGTTAATGGAGGCTTATTCAATGGCAATATTTATTTAATTCTTATTTTGTATTGAAATAATGTAATGTGTTAGTCTATCTATTAGTAATTTAAACATCAATTACAGACACTGTTTCAATATATATTGTGATTTATTACATTGAACTCATTCGTCAATACTCGGCAGTTAAAGCGATTGTTGAGAGGTTTTCTAAATTTTTTATGTGTATCGCGGACACTGATAGTTTCAATTTACACCATTCCAATTTTCAGTCTAACGTCTATGGCTCCTGAAATTCAGCTAAAACTAAGAAGACGTCACTAATCGCAAAAATATACTTTATCACAAGCCCTTAGTGTTTAGTGATACTTAGTTTTAGTGGAATTGCAAGAACCACAGATGTCTAATTGAAAATTGTAATGGTGCAAATTGATGCAATCGGTGTCCCAAATACACAACTTTCAAAGAATTTTCACGATAAACCGTTTGCACTGTACGGTAATAAATTTAGGCCTGTTTCTGCTAATACCAAGTAAGGGATAATTCCCATTTAATCAATTATTTTAATATAATTCACTCTCAATTCTCCCTCTTTCCAAATTTCACCCCGAGAATTTCCAATTCACTACTCGGGTGCATATGGATCCCGCACGAGAAACACTGACCTAGAGAATGATTGAAGCTTATTTTCAGGATAACCAGGACACTATATGGCAAATATATGACCCACAATAGTCGCCTGTTCAGATGTCCGAACTGAAATATACCTACCCTGCCTTTCAAGACTACCTGCATGTATTGAGTTTTTCAATGACATCGTTACTTTCATTTTGTTTAATGATAAACACCAATCCATAAGCGAGTTAAAAGAGAGTCCATTAATACTAATAGAGAATTGAATAGGTTTACCAGTGTATTGTTTAACTTACAGCAGTAATCTTAGAAATAATGGCGGACATTGAATCAAAGTTGAAACCTTTGATAATATTTTTGTCACTAACGGGGGCATGTAAGCCTTTCCAGATAACAAAGAAAAACGTTATTGTTTTTGTACTTTATCTGGTGTTCCAATTAAGTATATGGATCTGGGCATTGCAGAAAGGAATATGGTGTTACGTTATAGATGAGAGCTCGACAATAGAAAAACTTGGACTCTTTTTCACTGTCATCATAGCTTCGTGTCATGCAAGTTTGACCATTATTCTTGGACTTGTTTATTTTCCTAAGAAATTGAATTCGTGTATATCAACTTGGAATGAAATAAATTCGGATCCTTACTTCAACATCAAGAACAATCAGCTTAACAATGTTAAAAAGAATTGTATTATTAGTGCAACCGTAGTAATTACACTCTGTACTATCTTTGTGGCTGTAAATGATCCACATAGTGGTAAATATTGTATATACTCACCTAACTTTGGAAATGACGTTTATCTCTGGATTAACGCACTGTATACCTTATTGATGTCAATTACATACTTGGTACACCGATTTTCCTATTTATATCTGCACCTCATACTGGTTAACACCATCAAAAGAGAATTCTGTAGGTGTGATCAAGAAGTGAAGAAGGTCGAAGTTACAAGCTCTAAATTCACTGCAATAGTCAAAATCAAGAAACGATATATAATGGTTTGTCGAATGGTCGAAAAGGTCGATGATCTCTTCATGCCATTTTCCTCGTCATTATTCACCAGCAGTTTTATTACGATATGTTTAGCAGTTTATTCTCTTTCTTATGGATCTATGCCATTGGGAATGTACTCCGTCTACGCCGTATTCACATTGATGTTTATCACAGAAATGGGATATTTATTGATACAAGGCAGTATATTACACGAAGCGGTTTGTATAAAATGACACTAGCTTGTTCTTAATCATCTTCATAATGTCAAGTTATTACGAACCTCGTATTTATATCTTGACTGTAATAACCACTAATATTTTATCATGCGTTTTGATTGGATTGTACGCCAGCTAATACAGTTAATTAGAACCCTCGAAAGGAAGACTGTTAGCATTATGGCTTTGTGTTCACAAACTTTCTGTCGAGTCCTGTGATTGGCTGTATACAAATAGCACTTACATGGCACAAACAATGTGACTAATGTAGTCAAGGTATAAGTTCTTATTAACCTGATACTGTAATGATTCTTTATGATCTTTACGATTGTAATAACGTCATTTTGATTGTTCATCATTATTATCAGAAGATTTCAGAAAATAAGACGCTATTTTACTGCGCTCTGCAATCTAACCCTACTAGTATCTCGGACATGTTGAACGGATGTGATTTTGTCACGATAATAACGTCTCAGGAACTGGTAGTGCTAGAAATTTTCAGGGTTAGTCTTTGAATATAATGAAGGAATGCGTTCTTAGTTAGTTTAAAATAACATCTGATATGATTTAAACGATAATTTAAAAGTTTTTTTTTCTGCAGTTTTTGTTATGATCTGATGAAATTCTTCTTTAAATTGTGTTCAGTTGTCATACTATATTATACCAATGAAAGCACCCTTAAAGCAGGGCTAGCAAAATTCCCAACAAGTGATTCATTCAGAAAATTACAAAGATTTTAACAAGAAGTTTATATCAAAATTACAAGCAAACTATTTGCGACACCTTGAAAAGGTAATAACTGGGTTTGTTACCGAACATATTCCAATGTTTCATAATTATTATTAAATTATTTAATCCATCGCTATACGAAACAACTATGTGTAGTAATGTTAGTAATACTCCCCTTTTCCCAATTCTTATTTAAAAACAGAAATATTTCTCATTATTTTTCAGAGTAAAATATCTCTAAAGACATTACTTCATATTGATACCAGTAAAATGGACCAGGGAACTACTACTGAGGTAATTTATCAAGATTCATAATTATTTAATTATTTTATGCTTACAGCATGGTGTACAGTCCATTAATATATAATAGACTAAAAACAATATAAAATAAAATCTTAATCGTAATTGCTTGCAAGTAATCTAGATTATATCTGTACCAGCTGATAGAGCTTAACTTGTGGACCTTGCGATTGATTCAGCAAAAAAAAAACCTTCTGACCACCATTGATTATTGTCACAACTTTGAGTAAAGGAACCAGGTTGCCGTGGAAATTTGCAAATTTTACCATCTTTACAAGCCTATCTGGAGTCGAAATTTTCAGTTCAAAGCCATCCTCCATCTTTCTCCCATGGCCACACCCAATGAATACCAAAATTTCATAAAGATGTAACATCATATTTTATACTGGATAGTGATGAGTAATATCTGTAACATGGCTTTAATTAAATTTCGGGGAAGGGAGGTTTGATTCTCCCAAATGTACAGGCCTAGGGTGGAGCAGACACTTTTTTTAGAAATTAGGATTAAGGGTCTTGATATTGGGTTTTCTTCTGTTCTTATTCTGATCTGAAATTAAAAAAATAACTCGCCCAATGGACGACAAGTATAGTAACTGTTATGTACTGATTGTTTTTAGTTTACTATGAACAATATTAATCCTTAGTTGGATTCGTAAATTGAGAAATTATAATTTGGATTCGTTAAACCAGATAACTTTTTCTAAATCTACTTGTAGTTCACAAGAAATCAACCTAAATAGTCCCTAATATGATTTCAGATTTTGTTGTTCGTAGAATTAATAAAGGGTACAGAGTATGGGTTGAGTTACTTTAAACTGTTTTTATTTGACAAGCCTGCCATAATTACAGTAAGTAAAAGATATATTTCTTACTAACTGTCTTCGGTCATTTACCAATGATCATATCGGAAGAGGTACTGTTCAAAAAGCACTAGAAGTAACGTATTTATATATCTTTTAAAGGAACATAAAACTATAATCTTAAGCGTTCTTCAGTAATTACTTTATTTTAAATTCTAATTTTAATTCTCAAAAAGGCCAATATACCCACCAGTCAAAACTATAATCTTAAGCGTTCTTCAGTAATTACTTTATTTTAAATTCTAATTTTAATTCTCAAAAAGGCCAATATACCCACCAGTCAAAACTATAATCTTCGCGTTCTTTAGTAATTACTTGTTGTTTGATTTTCACTTAGTTTTGTTGTAGTATTTATTTAAAAAGCGCGAAATGATTTCATGCACGACTTAGAATGACATTTTTCTATTGGCGCACATTTTCCTGTACTTTTCTCAACGTTTCATTTCAGACAATTGGTACCCTGATATCATACATTATTATTGTGATGCAGTTTAAACCAAGCTGAACACACTTTACTACTTTTTCAATAAGGGTTCTGCATAGTCAAACCAAACGCTTATTTATTACATTTAGGGGCTAGGGGTTATGTTTCTTAACCATTATATCCATTTGAAAAGAAAATAAAAATCAAGCAATACTTCATATCTAATCAATTATTGGCGTTGAAGGTTTTCATAAACCCAGTCAAAAGCAGAAAAACACGACATAAATCTCATTTCATTTTAGAAATTTAGAGGCTATATCTTTCCGAGGCTTGATTATGACGTTATAATGGATTTGACGTTATAATAGTTTTGACGCTGCAATAATGATTGTTATAACGTCATTTTGATAGTTCATCATTATTATCAGAAGATTTCAGATAATAAGACGCTATTTTACTGCGCTCTGCAATAAAATACCTTTTAGTGGAATATTTTCACTGAACATCATCGTTGCAAATATCAACACGTTCTACTTGGTAAGTAATAGTTTAAGATTGTTGCATTGATAACTATTATAAATATTTTTTGTGTGTTTGTAACGCTTGGACTGATAGTAAACGTAGATCTAATAGTTAATTTGTAGGATTCGTAATTTAGGTTTTTTGAAAATGTTAACGTTTTAGATTAATTTCCATTACAGTGAAAAAATGGATTCACAGGAAGATCCTAGAAAATTAACCAAAGTCCGGGGAAATGAAGATTTCTATTCTAAAAATCGGACAGAAATCTCTTCTTCACCAACCCTCGGACCCCAAACCGGTAAGCCATTTATTTAAAAGAATAGTTTCATAGTCTCAGAAACGGGGCATTTCACCGTCGAAATTTGAGCCTTTAAAACTATGTGTTTATAGAATTATCGGCGTTTGAAAGTTAAAATGAATGTTAAATTCTTAGTTTGTGGTCTTTAAAGGAATTATGCGATTTTCGGACATTTATATACCATTAAGACTATTTAAATATATTAAAGTCTCAAATCAACCCCATGATAATGGCGATCTATTCCCTTTAAAAGAAGAGCAGAAAATTTTGCTCATGAAGATTATCGATATGCATCACTTTTATTCTTACTCATTAAATAACAAATTAAACTTTTTGTATATTTTAGAAGATTCGGTTATGAATTTACATGGAGAAATCGCTCGTCCAGTTTTACAACGCCAACTTGATTGTTTAACTGAAGAAGATGAAGATGTAGATTATCCTCCACCTAGACTAATTACTGGTAGGTAAACTATTCTTCTCCTAGATTAATTACTGGTAGGTAAACTATTCTTCTCTTACACTAATTACTGGTAGGTAAAGTATTCTTCTCTTAGACTAATTACTGGTAGGTAAACTATTCCTCTCCTAGACTAATTACTGGTAGGTAAACTATTCTTCTCCTAGATTAATTACTGGTAGGTTAACTTATTCTTCTCTTACACTTATTACTGGTAGGTAAACTATTCTTCTCCTAGATTAATTACTGGAAGGTTAACTTATTCTTCTCCTAGACTAATTACTGGTAGGTAAACTTATTCTTCTCTTAGATTAATTACTGGTAGGTAAACTATAATTCTTCTCCTAGACTAATTACTGGTAGGTAAACTATTCTTCTCCTAGATTAATTACTGGTAGGTAAACTATTCCTCTCCTAGACTAATTACTGGTAGGTAAACCATTCTTCTCTTAGACTAATTACTGGTAGGTAAACTTATTCTTCTCCTAGACTTATTATTGGTAGGTAAACTTATTCTTCTCCTAGACTTATTACTGGTAGATAAACTTATTCATCTCCTAGACTTATTACTGATAGGTAAACTTATTCTTCTCTTAGACTAATTACTGGTAGGTAAACTTATTCTTCTCCTAGACTAATTACTGGTAGGTAAACTTATTCTTCTCCTAGACTTATTACTGGTAGGTAAACTTATTCTTCTCCTAGACTAATTACTGGTAGGTAAACTATAATTCTTCTCTTAGATTAATTACTGGTAGATAAACTTATTCATCTCCTAGATTAATTACTGGTAGATAAACTTATTCATCTCCTAGACTTATTACTGATAGGTAAACTTATTCTTCTCTTAGACTAATTACTGGTAGGTAAACTTATTCTTCTCCTAGACTAATTACTGGTAGGTAAACTTATTCTTCTCCTAGACTTATTACTGGTAGGTAAACTTATTCTTCTCCTAGACTAATTACTGGTAGGTAAACCATTCTTCTCTTAGACTAATTACTGGTAGGTAAACTTATTCTTCTCCTAGACTTATTATTGGTAGGTAAACTTATTTTTCTCCTAGATTAATTACTGGTAGGTAAACTTATTCTTCTCCTAGACTAATTACTGGTAGGTGAACTTATTTTTTTCCTAGACTAGTTACTGGTAGGTAAACTTATTCTTCTCCTAGACTAATGACTGGTAGGTAAACTTATTTTTCTCCTAGATTAATTACTGGTAGGTAAACTTATTCTTCTCCTACATTAATTACTGGTAGGTAAACTATTCTTCTCCTAGACTAATTAGGGGTAGGTGAACCATTCTTCTCCTAGAATTATTACTGGTAGGTAAACTTATTCTTCTCCTACACTAATTACTGGTAGGTAAACTATTCTTCTCCTACACTAATTACTGGTAGGTAAACTATTCTTCTCCTAGACAAATTACTGGTAGGTAAACCATTCTTCTCTTAGACTAATTACTGGTAGGTAAACTTATTCTTCTCCTAGACTTATTACTGGTAGGTAAACTATTCTTCTCCTAGACTAATTACTGGTAGGTAAACTATTCTTCTCCTAGATTAATTACTGGTAGGTAAACTATTCCTCTCCTAGACTAATTACTGGTAGGTAAACTTATTCTTCTCTTAGACTAATTACTGGTAGGTAAACTATTCATCTCCTAGACTAATTACTGGTAGGTAAACTATTCTTCTCCTAGATTAATTACTGGTACGTAAACTATTCCTCTCCTAGACTAATTACTAGTAGGTAAACTATTCTTCTCCTAGACTAATTACTGGTAGGTAAACTATTCCTCTCCTAGATTAATTACTGGTAGGTAAACCATTCTTCTCTTAGACTAATTACTGGTAGGTAAACTATTCTTCTCCTGCACTAATTACTGGTAGGTAAACTATATTCTTCTCCTAGACTAATTACTGGTAGGTAAACTGTTCTTCTCCTAGACTAATTACTGGTAGGTAAACTATTCCTCTCCTACACTAATTACTGGTAGGTGTACCATTCTTCTCCTACACCAATTACTGGTAGGAAAACTATTCTTCTCTTAGACTAATTACTGGTAGGTAAACTATTCTTCTTCTAGATTAATTACTGGTAGGTAAACTATTCTTTTAAAGTAATAACTAGTGAGCATTGTCTTCAGTCTATACTTATTGTTAGTAAGTTAACTTTGTGAAACTTGATGGGTATTTTAGCAAAGTTAAACATTTATTTATTCTGAGTAGTACGAACATCAATCATAGCATAGTTGATAGTAATAGTCATATTTTTATTATACGTTTAGGTTTACCAGAACCCATCACTGTTGATGATCATACAGACAATCTGAAATCTATTAATCCAGAGATTTCTTCTCTTAAAGGTAAGTTTATAAATTCTCGGTTAAGGTAGTGGAGAATAAGAAAGAAAACAGTTGTAAGTTGTCTCCCCTTTATCTCCAAACCCTTTTTAATGAACTCGCTCTAATATTTCAAAAATACATCAAACATTTAAAGATGAGCACTTATCTAGGTATGACTTTATATTGTCTACTTTCAATTTCAGCACCATGTCTGCTATTTACCACTGAAGAAATCAAGAAATATATTGATCAACTTGAAACGAAATTAAAATATTTTCATCAGAAAATGCAAGAAGCTGAAATAAGAATAAATAATCAACAGTCTCTTCTCGATCAACAGGAAGACGAATTGATATTTTACCGAAAATTTCATAAAACTGGTAAAAATGACGCCAATGAGTTTATCCCTGAAGAATATGAAAGACTCGAAACACCACCAGAGGCAGAATTTCGCAAGTACTCCTTTGGCAAAAAGCTAAAGATTGAAATGAACCCTACAGACGTTGATCCTGATATAAAGGAAGCTGTAGATGGAAGAATACAAGAGATCTTAAATAAAACAGAACTATCACCAGGATCATCTTTACCAAGTCATAATTCATTTCAAAATATTATTTACATGAATCATGAATTCGATGATGAGATGTTAAATCCAACATCACCAAGATCCTGCGAATCTCCTTTTCTATTTATAGAAGCGAATACGTCATCAATACAAGATCATGATAAATCCGTTGATACATTATCACCTGAAAATTCTGCTCTACGTAATGCAACAAGCAATCCTCTGGAACCCGGCGATTATGAAGGACCTAGCCAATTTCAAGAAGTACACACAATAAGAGAACAGACAGATATGAAACCTACCTTAGAGGACCAAGCTGCAGATCAGCTCCTTCAACAATCAAAATCTAGTCAAGATCGTACAAATCTATAAATATTCAAGAGTGTGGAACTGGGATGAAATATGACATCCCAGCAAGCCCAAGTCCAAACCCAGAAGTCAATATCAGAGAAGACTTTGAGTTTCAACAAATCATAAAATCATCTGGAGTAGAAAATGAAGAAAGTAAGTTAACAGAACAGCTTGAACAGTACGACCAGAATGAATCACAACTGAGTGATCTGTTGGAAATCGTGAAAAACATATCTACATCACAAGACGATCAGGTTCAAGCGAATGATGTACAGATGACTCAAGAGGAACAACAACTAATTGAAGAACTTGAAAAATATGTTGGAATTTATGAGGTCAGCTTCGAATCCTTTACTGACACCCATAATGAATTTCCAATGGTTGAAAAAATGCCTTACATCGATATAGGATCTGTTCTACCAAAATTAGAAGCATCCGAACCTACAGACCTAATTGCTCCTTCAAAAGGAAAACATGTCAAAAAGTCGGCCCGAAAAACGGAAGTTGAAATTGAGAATGGACGACGCCCTGTTAAGTCCGCGTACAGGAAGAGCACACATCAATCAATGTTATCTTCAATTGAATCAAAGAAGATCGACCTTCCAATAGTTTCAGACTTCAATACCAGAATACCGCTACCAGATATTTCAACAACTGGTTATATATCACACTCCTCATCACGCAGAGCAGCTGAAACAAGATTATTGGTTGGGAATGAAAGTGTGTCTAAAATCAATCAATTGGATAGACGAGGTGCTCTACCACAAATACGTGCTGGATACTCTAGGAAACCACATTATCAAGATGTAGATGTATCATCATTACCAAAATTAAATCCAGGTTATAATAAATCAAATACAAAAACCAACTGCCAAGGAAAAGACGAAGAAATTGTTCTGCCGCAAATTAAATCAACATCATTATCAACTCCAACAATTTCAAATCACAACCTTAGACAAAGAATCAAAAGCAGTCTTTTACCAGATATGACAAAACCAGAAAAGTTGCCTTCAATCTTATCAATTAATACATCAAGGCAAGCAAAAGCATCGACGTCCAGTGTAGGGAAAAGTCAAGGCTTCACGAAATCTGCAACCTTTAAACAACCGAAGGTGTTACTTCCGGTTCAACCTAACCTCTATCAATCGAATCGTCGTAAAGAAAGACGTCCCGGTAAATTACCACCTATTTGTAATCTAGGTTTAGATGATAACCTGGTAGCAAGGAAGGATTAGAGACTTAATTAGAAAATTTAAACGAAGAAATATTTCTATACATTATCCTTGTTGATAATAAAACCTTTATATAATTTTATATTTCTGTCTTTTACATTCTATGTTGGTCCGAGAAATATTTCACATTTCGGTGAAATTCACGTCATTTAAGCGCATGGCTTCCCAACTTGCTTTATTATATACCAACACAAAGGGCCCTTCTAAATTGTAAAGGGTTAAACAATGATATGATATTTTCTGATCGTCTCTGGCTGAATTATTTTTCATCATCAGTTAATAAAATAAGATAGTGACTTGATTTGCATGACACTCTTTATTACTTAATCAATTTGAATTGCATGTGTATTGGGACTCTTATGAATTGTTATTGTACCATTCTTATTTACAATCCATCGTATATGGTATTTAGTCCGGTGAAAAAAATAGAGCACAAACAAAAACATGAAGTCGACCAACGTTGTGTCATTACACAGACAATGTCTTTTACAACAGTACTGCCAACAGCGTACAGAAACGGCTATGTCTTTTGCTTTTAAGATTAGAGCGATAAAACACACATGGTATACACGGCGCAAACAACATTGCTCAGACTAAGTATATATCGAGATTGGGCTCCATATACTTATTATATTCAATACTAGAATCATTCAAAAAGACTGATTTATAACTTATTATAGGAATAGCAATACGTTTCTTCGCTTGACCAAGTTCTGCAATGACAAGGATATGAAAGGATAAACTGTAAGATTTGAATGATTGAGTTTTGCCCCTTATCGTTCACTATTTCAGACAAATATTCATTGATTTCCATCAGGGGCATTACATTGTGCTCAATGGTCGTCATAATGCAGATATTCCCTGTGAATTTCAGCTTGATAGCTTGCATACTTTGAAAGTTATAGCGTTTATTCGATTTTGACCCAATTTGCCATGGTAACCTAGGCTCAGCTTTTTGGGTTTTATTTCCGAAGCGTTTCCGATTTTGGTTTTATGTGGTTTTTTGAAGTCCCTTGGGTCTATATGATAGGAAATGAGTAGAATTAGGCAATTCTGAGAAATGCCGATGCCGACCATATAAGCCATAACTGTTTGAATATACAACTAAACCACTATTATCATATCACAATTGTTCAGACATACACTTAAACCACTATTATCATATCACAACTTTTCAAAAATACAATTAAACCGCTGTTATCTTATCGCAACTGATCAGACATACAACAAAACCATTGTTATCACATCACAACTGATCAGACATACAACTAAACCACTATTATCATATCGCAACTTATCAGACATACAACTAAACCATTAGTATCATATCACAACTGATCACAACATAACCATTCCTCGACACTTGAAAAATGATAATATTTCGAAAACCGGTTCGTGTCAATTGCGTAGGTTTTTGTTTAACTTGTTATAATTTTTCATTGTTAACGTTATTTATCACCTAAATATATATTTTTTGCATTTTTCATCATAACTTTCATCTTACTTTATATATCCCCAAACCCAGTTTGACTTATTTGCATAATTTGATCCCCACATTTTCACGCTAGCATATACAGTTTCCTCCTGTTACATCCGCTGTACATTCCCTTTCTAACCTCAAGTTATTTTCATTATGCTCAACAACTACAACAACCACTGGCAAGAAGCCAGACATAGAAACACTAATCGTCAACCAAACCAATATCACGTACCCTACAAC